CAGGTTTGATTCTGACCAAGGGCACATGCCCAGGTTGTGGGCTCAATCCCGTGGGGGTGTGCAGGAGGCAGCCAATCAATGATTCTCTCTCATCATTGATCTTTCTATCTCTCTATCCCTCTCCCTTGCTCTCTGAAATCAATAAAAATATTTTTTAATAAAAAGAAAAGAACTATGTTTGCCCTGGCCAGTGTGGCTCAGAGCACCTGTACACACACCAAAGGGTCTCAGGTTCAATTTCCAGTTAAGGGCACACACCTGGGTTGTGGGTTTGCTCGCCCCCAGTTGGGGCTTGTTCGAGAGGCAACCAATTGATATCTCTCTCACATAGATATTTGTCTCTCTCTCTCCCCCCCCTCCCTTCCACTCTCTCTGAAAAGCAATGGAAAAATATCCTCAGATGAGGATTTAAAAAAAGGGAAAGAACCATGTTTTAGTTTGCAATAGCAAACACCATCTGCTGCACATGGACAAATTCTTCTGGGTGAGTAGAAACCCAATTACTCAAAATTTAGGGAAGGAGTCCACTAGTTACAGCAAGTTCCACCTGGTTCTCCACGGCCCTTTGACCTATTCAGCCGGTTACCTCAGGTCTGAGCTCCTGGTTTAGGACCATTATACAAAGTGGATTATATTCTGCTCATTTTTGGGGGGGTATAATTTTCTTTCCTTTTTTTTAAATCCTCACCTGAGGATGTGTTTTTCATTGAGAGCAGGAGAGGGAAACATCAATCAATTGGTTCTTCATGAACATACGCCGACTGGGGATCGAACCCGCAACCTGGGTATGTGCCCTGACTGGAAATCAAACCCACGACCTTTTGGTGCACAGGGTGATGCTCTAACCACTGAGAACACCGTCCAGGGCTGTTTGTATAATTTTCAAACTTTGTACCTGTTATCTGTCAAGATTCTGTGGAAATGATGCCGGCTCGTTGCTTTGAGATGATCTGCAATGCTTCTAACACTGATAAGATAGACTTTCGATGGGAATGCCCTTCCTTGTTAACCATTTCCAATCTCTATGCACTTTCCCTCCTACATGGAACATGGCAACCAGGAAAGGTGCTTCCTGACTCAGAGGGACAAAACTACCTAATGTAGAAAACTGATTATTGGTCAGTGATGCTTTTCAGAGGAAGATCTTAATCAAAGGGGAAAACGTAGAAAAGAATGAAGGAAGCCTTATAAAACTGGAGTCAGGAAACCTTGTAGGGGAAGCTCTCCTGCATTCACTGCACCTTGCAGACTCAAACAAGGAAGAAGCCTACGTTGTTACTCCAGCAAGAGGAAAATTTTCTCCTTACCCAGCAACAGCCCAGCCAATGAGAAGCCACCACCACCCTCTACTCTTGCTCTACTCCAATGGACTTTTGCTTATAACTGCCTCTCTCAACTTCCTTTTTCTCTATACAATAACATTCACCTTTGTTCTCCAGACTTGCCTGTGACTCACCATAGTTTGCAAGCCCCAAATTGCAATTCCTCTGCCATTCCCAAATAAACTAGTTTTTGGCTGGTAAAATAGCTATTTTGTTTTTAAGGCTGACACTGGGAAATGGGCTCACTGCGGGCGGGCAACGTCTAGACCTGGATTACTGGGTCACAGCCAGGCCCTATACAACTGTCTCAGGGAGACTGGTGGGGGCTCTGTCGATCAGAACACCCCAAAAGCAAGCCAAGCCTAGGAGCAGTTGCAGGGATACGTACTCGGCTCCCTCCCACAGCTGGAAGTCCCTGTGTGGCAAGAAACAGATATGCCCTGCTCGGAAGACCTGAGCCCTGGCGAGGAGGGCCAGCTCTACCTGCTCAGAGAATCCTGTCTCCTAGGGGCTGTCACTGTGCCCTCCCCAGAAAGGAAGGGTGTGCCCTAGGCTCCAGGCTGGGGAAGTCTTCCACAGCACTTGTCTCTTTTCTTGCATTATCCCCAGTGCCTACAGCCCCAGGAGGCACTCAGTGAAAGCTTGTGGACTAGGCTCCGCCCCCACCGGGCGCGCCCTCGTCCTGCTGCGGGGCCTGCGGCAGTGGCAGTGGTGGCACAGTTACAGGTACCGCTTCCTACCTTGGGTCATGCTGAACCTAAATCACAACCCCAGGACCCTCCGGTATGTTCCAGAGGAATTTAAAGACAAAGTTATCTCAAATGAAGATGTCCTAGGAACATTACTGCATGTTTTCCAGACCCTATTCTTAAATGATTTCAATCCCCAGTTGGGTATCTGGACTGTGCTTCCAGAACCTGTTCAATCGAAATATCAAGACCTGCTGTCAGTTCAACATCCAAAGGTGAACGTGCTTGAACACAGAGATCATCAGCAAAATATCTTTAAACCAGAACAAATTCTTTATAAAACATTGGGTTTCGGTGTTGCCCAAGCAGCTAGCTCATTGGTTTCTGCTGGGAAAGGTGTCTTCATTACTAAAGGACTGGCACCAAAAGGCGCCGTTGTATCCATGTACCCTGGTAATGGCACAACTAGTACTTTGCCAAGACTTTCTTATATACTGATGATCATAAGTTCAAAAAATTAACTAGCCCTGTAATCCTTACCGTAAGAATTTGCATTAGAAACTCAGATTTCCAGAGATTTTTAAATCCCACTTTGGAAATTAACTGCTTGTAAATTATCTTATGTTAGAAAGTATCCATGGGTATGTGTTGGGATATATGCACTCTCCTTTTAAGGAAATTTTTCTACTCAATGTTTACATTTAGGAGACTATGGTATGGCCTGCTTTGATCAGACTTGTTACTTAGAAAGCACTAGAGAAAAAGTCAGTTTGGTTTAGATAAATGTCAAACTAATAGGGGTTGAAACATGAAAGATAGAACTTAAACTAAAAAATCACTGAAGGGCCCTAGCTGGTTTGGCTCAGTGAATAGAGCGTCGGTCTGAGGACTGAAGGGTCCCGGGTTCCATTCCAGTCAAGGGTACATGCCAGGGTTGTGAGCTCGATCCCCTGTAGGTGGCGTGCAGGAGGCAGCCTATCCATGATTCTTTCTCATCACTGATGTTTCTCTCTCCCCCTTCCTCTCTGAAATCAATAAAAATATATTAAAAATAAATATATAAATCACTGGGAAAAAAAAAAGAAAAAAGAAAGCTTGTTGACTAAATGTAGGCATCTAATTGGCTTCCCCAGCATCCATACCCAACTCTCTCTAGTTCACACCTGACACTCCGCTCCTCCGCCTCTGGGCAACTGGGCAGCCGTGTGTGTGTGTGTGTGTGTGTGTGTGTGTGTGTGTGTGTGTGTGTTTGTGTGTGTGTGTGTGTGTCCATGTGAATGCACACACCCTGAAGTATTTCACAGGTACCCCAAAGGCCAGCTTCCATAGCGCCAGCCCACAAGCTCACCACACTGGTTCCCCTTGGCCACTTCCCCCAGGGCAAGCAAAGCCCCTGGCCCAAGACTTCCAGGGCTCCAGCCTACCTGGTGTGGCTCAGTAGCTGAGCATTGACCTATAAACCAGGAGGTCAGGGTTTGATTCCCGGTCAGGGCACATGCCTAGGTTGCAGGCTTGATCCCTAGTGAGGGGTGTGCAGGAGACAGCCAATCAATGATTCTCTCTCATCATTCATGTTTCTATTTCTCTCTCCCTTCCTCTCTGAAATCAATAAAAACATATTTTTTTAAAAAACAAAACTTCCAGGGTTCCAGTGGCCCTGCTAGCCACACCCACTCCTGTCCTTTGTGCACCTATGAAAGAGGGTGGTGCATGGGAAGCTCAGGCAAGGCTTGGGGTCGGGGGTAGCTGCCAGTGTCCACCTAGGGCTCACTCAGAGCAGCTGCCCATTATTGTGCACAGGCGGTCAGAGGTAGTCCAGTCACCAGTGGATGTGGCCAGGGCCTCTTTCTGAGAAGCTGTGGGGAGCTGGCCCAAGAACAGGGCAGGCCCAAGGGTAAGGGTGCAGCTCAGCCTTGTGGGGGAGCCCTCCTTGGGGCCTGCCCAAGACAGGGAGGAGGAGGCCGGTCAGGGCACCCTCACTTCTTCCTCCTCTGGTCTTTGCTAAGATACTCTGTGGTTGGGGAGCGGGGGGGAGTCTGTAGGATGCTAGGTCTGTAGTCCATGGGAGAGGTCCAGGCTGGAGACCAAAATGCAGGGGTCATCAGCACATTGATGGTATTTAAAGCCGTGAGCTTGGGGAGGTGAGGATGGTAAGAAGCTCAGGGGGGAGGAAGGGCAGAGGTGGGAGGAAGCCGCATGAGGCCTGCCTTCCAGGGGGGCTGTACTCCCCTCCCATCAGCCCCACAGAGAGTAAAAAGACAACCCCCCTCCCATGCATACACAGCTTCCGGGCAGCACTCCATGGAAAGTTTGGTGTCCTCTGAATCTGGAGAAAGGGTCCTGTGTATGGACACAGCCTTGTCCTTCTCCCAGACTCGGTTCCTGATTGAATCCAGGCAGGACCCCTGGCTCCCACCCGCACCCCTGGCTTCTTCCCCAGCAGCGAAGGCAGGTGAGGATGGGAAGCTATTTCTAGGGTTCAGCCCAGGCATCTCCCCAGACTTGAGCTTTTCTTTCCTGGGAATTATGGGGCTGGGGTGAGCAGAGTGAGCTCACTCAGGGGTCAGAAGCCCCCGCACTCCGGGCTTCAGCCCCCGCACGTCAGCCTCAGGGCTGCCAGCTTTGTCCAAAGTTGCTGACCCTTTATGTGGCTGAAGCGGGAGGAAGGCAGGGGCAACAACAATGGGGCCAACCCTAGCTGGTTTGGCTCAGTAGATGGAGCGTCCACCTGTGGACTGAAGGGTCCCAGGTTCGATTCCAGTCAAGGGCACATGCCTGGGTTTCGTGGGAGGCGTGCAAGAGGTAGCCGATCAATGATTCTCTCTCATCATTGATGTTTCTATCTCTCCCTCTTCCTTCCTCTCTGAAATCAATAAAAATATTTTTAAAAACAATCAAACAAAAAATTGGTTTAAAAAAAGAGCATGTGAATATCACATCAGTGAACAAGTGGACAAATAAAATAACTTTATTTTTAAAAATGGGGCCAGTGGTGGGAAATGCTCCTTAGAGGAACAGCAACAAGCAGGACCCCACAAGGATCCCATGGGCTCTACACCACACCAAGCTGCTCAGCCAGTTGCAGGGGCCTGAGGGCAGGAGGCAGCCAGGGACTGCTGGGCTCCCGTGGAACCACAGAGAAGTAGGCACCCAGTCAAAGTGCAGCCCCCTTCCTCCCAGGCTGGGAGTGATGTTGACCTTCCTGCCCCAAGGGACGCAACCTGCCACTCCCGCTCTGAGCCTTGGGAGCACCTGACAGTGGAGGCAGGAGCAGCAGAGCCGAAGCTCATGTGGGCGGAGAGTCCATGCAGGCCCCACCCAGCAGCACCCCCGCTCCAGGGCATGGGCATGGGCGTGGGCCACTGCCCCACTCCCTAGCTGGATGGCCTCAGACAAGACACCACTGCCCTCAGTCTCCCGCAGTGTAAAGGAGGCTGGGCTCAGGTACCAGACACTCGACCTGCATTGACTACTGAAGTCCGTATTCTTATTGGTTATTGCCACTCCCTCAGAAGCAGTTGGTACTGTGACGCCCTTTGGAGATCTCCCCCTCCACCCTCCTCGTGGCCTCTCTCCAGAGCCCTCCTCCCATTCCCCTCAGTCTGGCACCACCTCAAAGGGGCAGAGGTGGTTGGTATGGGCAGCTGCATAGGCACGGCTGAATTCCTGGAAGTGGGGTGCACAGCCAAGCCAGGCCTCACCAAAATGGCTCCAGCCCACAAAAAGCAAAGTGCCAGGGCGGACACCACAGCGCAGTGGGGTGCAAATGGAGGCCTGTACCGGGCCCCCAGAGCCCCCCGCCTGGAACAGCGGCAGTGTCTGGCAGACACGGACAGCTGCCACAGTGACAACAGACTGCAGCTCTGTGTCATGGGCAATCCTGTGCAGGGTCCCCTGGATCACTGCAGGGAGACACACTGGCCAGTGGCTCGCATAGAGGGGAGGGGAGGCCCCCGGCTCCCCCTCTGCCCCATTGGCGTGGCAAGGCCTCTCACCAAAGTCGCCAGTGCACAAGGCCAGGAGGACTCGGTGTCATTACAGGGCCCGCAGGCACCTGCCTGCAGGGAAGATGGTCAGTGTAGGTCCTGCCCTCTTCTGGACCCCCCAAGGCCTCCTCCCACCAACCAGAGGCAGGAGGGTGACAGCAAATGACCAGACACCACAGTGCAGTGGGGTGCGAATGGAGGCTCCGGGCCATGAGGCAGTTGGGATCCCAGGGAGCACATGTGTACAAACCCTGAAGACCCCCAACCCTGAAGACCCCCTGCATTCGGGTTGATGCTTGCAGGCTCATACATGCACCCACACACGTGCATAGACATGGGCCTGAGGGTTGTGCCTAGCACACCCACCTGAAGCTCAGTGTCCTGATGCATGCTCTGGCTCCCGGATCTTGCATATGCAGTAACCCCTGTGGGCTCCCAGAGCTGTGTCCAGGGCCCAGTCACCAGCCTGGAAGGTGGGGGGAGGGGGGTCAGCAGTAGGATATGATGGGCATGGAGCCAGGAGGCAGAACAGAGACACTCCACCCCCTATGGGGTCAGGCTCTAAGCTCCAGGGGAGCAAAGAGCTGGGCCTGCTGCCCTGCAGGGAGGTGGGGCATCTCCATGGTGACAGGCTCACACTGGACTTTTGTTATATTGGGATGGGGGAGGGGAGGGAGGTCGCCGCTGGGCCAGAGTGTCCTGGACAGCTTTGGCCTGAGGTTTTGATCCTCCCGCGGACCATCAACCCCAACCCCCCAGGGGCTAGGGACCTGGGTTGCCCAGACTGGCCTCACCTTCCTCCTATTCTGCACCTGCCGGCTCTTTCCCTAAGATGAGTCGCTGCCCTTCCTCCCGCTGACCTGTTCTGGCGCTGCTCTAGCTGCGTGGCCTCTGAAAAGCGCCTCCGTTCCTCCCTGTGTGGTGGGGACGCAGGCATTTCCCACATGGCCCGGGTAGGGCGCGATTTCACTGACTCCCACCCAGACCGTCACTCACCATCCGCGCCCAGAGTGTGGGCCTGCGGAGGCAGCTCTGGACGCCAGTCCTCGCGCAGCTCGAAGCGGAAGGAGGCCATGCGGCGGCTGATGTCGCGGTGCGGGGTGGCCTGCAGGACGAG